AGTTTAGTTGCCTCGCCTTCACAGAAAGAAGATAAGGAAGGCTCTTATGCTGCTGACTAATTACTGTGAATGTCAGATTTGCTAGGGGAGCATAGTCATGCAGCTGTGGCTTTTTTGTCTGATTCTGCAATTCTGTATTGCATTCCTCTGGAGGCTGAAAATGTGTGTAAAATGTAGCACGGTGTGTTTTCTGCTGTGAATGGGGCAACGTCAGACTTTTTGTGCCCATGTTGTGAAATGCAGCAAAAATAGCAAGTTTCACATTCAGGTATAGCAGTGTGTGAAATCTGATACAGCAAGTCTATAGAAAGAAACAGGGAAACCGCAGGTCACGATACATATGGTTCGTTGTCTGCGTGGTCACCTGCGGTTTCCCTGCTTCTTTTTATAGAGGTCTTCATTCCCAGTTATGCTGAATAGAATAATCACATTATTTTTCAGCACTGAAAAGCCTTATGATAATGTGGAATGAAAAGTTGGCTCTTTTTTTTTTTTCCTTTTCCTCGTGCAAAGTGGCTTACCGTCATTAGTTTGAAGTCTCTGCAAGAGTCAGACTTTGTTGAGAGCAGCAACATATGTGGGATTTTTGGCAGTTGAAGTACTGTAATCATTAGCAGATATTTTATGCTCTCCTTTCTTCTTGAGGGGATTAAACTCCAGCAGACAAAAATAACCCACACAGAAGTCAGAGATTCAAAGAGGCATAACTTAGTATTAGCATTAAACACCACCCGTCTTGTTTAGTACAAAGAGTGCTAATTCGTAAATAAAGTCTCATTGACAGTCATCCTGTCATGGTCTGAAACTTTTAACAAAAATTTGTACCTGAAAAATAAGAGAAGGGATAATTAACCTTTACACTGCCTGGGCACCAGTTTAGTACAAAATCAGTAGAAATCTTCTTTCGAAGTTCCTGGGGAAACCAGTACTTCCAGGAGTATTGATACCCTCATAGATCCTCCTGTTGGCCTCCAAGTATCTGTTGTATGCTGTAATGGGTGAAGCTTAGTAGAAAGAACCAGTGAGAGCTACAGGGAACCCAAGAAGTTTCATTGTGGACTTTGGAGGAAGATTTCTACTGAACTGAGCAGTGTTCGGGCAACAAGATAGGTATTCCTTCTTTTATATTGCAGGTACACTTTTTTTTCCATGACAGGATCTGTTTAATTTGCCAGCCACTTCTAGGTGCTGCATAAATTTCCCAGAAGCCCCAAATCCAAGCATGCACATTTTTACCATCTCTCCTATTTAACAACTTAGCCCTCTACAACCTCCTTTACCATGGACCAATAGTGAGATGAAGTGGACAGGGCCAGGCTGTTAAATGGAAGGGCTGATTCAAAGTTGAACACTGAACACCCCAGCATTTGGAATTGTGGGTGTCTTGGCATCCATGGGTGACAGCTATCCTTTGATAGCAGAGCCTAAGCAAGTTATATTTGATTTCTTCACTTTAAAGTATATGTAAAGTCTGCCTTTTGAAATCACACAGGCTATTGAAGCTGCATGAAACTACATAGTACATGTTTCCCTAATATTGGGCAGCACAGTGGCTAAATGTTAGCACTTCTGCCTGGCAGTACTAGGGCCGTTTGGTTTGAATCCCAACCACGGCATCACCTGCCTGGAGTTTGCATGTTCTCCCTGTGCCTGCGTGGGTTTCCTACAGGTACTCCGGTTTCATCCCACACCCCAAAGACATGCTGGTAGGTTAATTGGATCCTGTCTAAATTGTCCCTAGTATGTATGAATGTAAGCTAGGGACCTTAGATTGTACACCCCTTGAGGGTTAGGGACTGATGTGAATGTATAATATGTATGTAAAGTGCTGCGTAAATTTACAGCGCTATATAAGTACCTGATATAAATATTGTAATTAAAAACATCTTTTTTATTCTATTTATTCTACAGTCATATGACCAATGGGTACACATCTGCATCTCAGGGTTGGGGTCATAGATGTGGGGAATGCCAAGCGTGCACATTGAGGAAGCTCAGAAGCCATATTCCCCCCCCCAGAAATATCAGGTCTGAAGGAGGCATGTGCAGACCTGATAGGCAGCCCAAAGTCCAAAAAGGAGCACACACAGCAGACTGTCAGTGCGATGATAATTGCAAAGCAGCAGCCGGGCTTGTCAGCCTCCAAAAGGAAGTGCGTTACTGTCAGGATCTCCAAGTTAGAAACTTTAGAACAGATGCCCAAAAATATCAGCTTAAGAAAACTGTATACAGAGAAACATGATGCAAAATATGATGAACAGAATTGGGACCTACATACTTTTCAAGTGCAACCAATCAGACTGGTATATGATGGTTGCCATACATTCTTTACTTAAAGTGGTTCTAAAGGCTCAAGCTTTTGAGTCCCACTCCCCAAAAATTTTGAAAAGTGTTTTTCTTATAAGATTTTGCAAATAAATAGTATTTCATTATAAATCTTGGTCAGAATGTATTCAGTTATATTTTTAGTAAAGAAAATAACCCAAATTAGTTTATAACCAAAAATTATAATTAAAAAAAAATTTTTTTTACTTTTTATCTTATTTTTTTTTATATTATTTTTTATTTATTATTTTTTTTTTACATACTGTCACCCTAGCAGTACAGGGTCACCATGGTGACACTGTACTACTTGTGGGGGGTGATGAAGATTTTTTTTTTTTACACTGATTGCTTTTACACCCATAAAGGATGTAAAAGCAATCATTTCTCCTTCTCTCTGGCTGCATTCCTGTAGCCATTGAGAAATACTGTGAGACCTGTGATTGGTCACAGCTTGTCACATGGTACAAGGCTGTTGTGAATAGCCTTGTACCATGTGACCTCTGTGATCATTCACAGATTTCACACGTAGTAAGAAATGATGTCAGAAGTGACATCTTGTTTACACCTATTCATGTGATCACTGCTGGCCAATCAGTGATCACATGATCAGGTCCCGTCCAACGATCGGTGTTCTACTGTGTCCGAAGGACACAGCGGGCACCGGATCGCGGTGCTGCGCGCTCCCAGGGAACGTGCACAAGCAGGGTGCGGGAAGGCCATTTATAAACAGCCACCCGACCCTGCACTGTCACCGTCCAGCCATTTATATACAACGGCTGGTCAGGAGGTGGTTAAACCAATACGATTTTACACTTACATTTGCTTACTTTGTTAAATTGATAATAAATTGTAAGCAAAACAGACATCCCAGCTTCAGACAAGCATTGGTGGGTTGAAATCACCTTCAGCTTTTACATACTGTATCTTTCTGTGACCCCAGTGGCAGGGGTGGACTGACCATTGGGGTACTCAGGCACTGCCGGAGGGCCCAAGGTCAGTAGGGGGCCCCATGAGATGCCCCTAGTACCTTTCTTAGGATTTTTTGGGTGTGGTTTGAGTGTGGGAGAGGACACAGGGGCCCCATGATCCCCTATTGCCTGGGGGCCCCATGAGAGGTCAGTCCGCCCCTGCCCAGTGGTAATTTTTCTGTTCAGTAATTTGTGCCCTCCATGGTCCAAAATGCCATAATAAAAGTTTCACTCTGATAAAGCTAGGCTTCTCAAATATTTGATCATTCCACATTATGGATAAGGATACCATCATGTTTGTCTGTGATTGAGGCAGTACTTCAGTAGATCTAAATTATGATGGGGATGTAGCAAATAGGAAGCTCTTAGAAAAGAATAGAAGTCAATATAAGATTCAACCTACAACAAAACTTAACCTTAAGTCTATTTTCCATATGTTTGGCATTATATATCACTGTATACAGTTGTTTTAAGCATTTTTTGTGATTCTGTTACAAAGATTCTTATCTGGAGATCGTGCCAGTAACAGAACTTATTTTTCTGTTTAATTTATGTATAGATGATATAGAGGTTGGTATAAATAGCTCAATTGCAGTGTTTGCTGACAATACAAAGCTAAACAGGCTAATAACTTCACAGCAGGATAAAGAAGACCTCAATAAATAAAGGGGTGAGCAACTACATGGCAAATAAGGTTTAACCATTTCAATACCGTGCAATTTTACACCTTCCTGCCCAGGCCATTTTTCAGGTTTCAGCGCTCTCACACTTTGAATGACAATTGCGCGGTCATACAACACTGTACCCAAACTAAAATTTTATCATTTTCTTCACACAACTAGAGCTTTCTTTTGGTGGTATTTAATCACCGCTGGGGTTTTTTTTTTTTGCGTAATTAACAAAAAAAGACCAAAAAGTTTGAAAAAAAACCACATTTTTCTTTGTTTCTGTTATAAAAGTTTACAAATAAATAATTGTTCTTCATAAATTTAGGCCAAGATGTATTCTGCTACATGTCTTTGGTGAAAATAACCCAAATTAGGATGTATTTTTTAGTTTGTAGGAAAGTTATAGAGTTCACAAACTATGGTATAGATCTGAATATTGATCAATCCTGAAGTACTGACAGCCAATCTAATTTCTTGAGGTCCAAGAATGTCAGAACAGTACAGATATCCCCCAAATGACCCCTTTTTGCAGAGTAGACAGTCCGACGTACTTCATAAGAGGCATGGCAAGTTTTTTGAAGTTGTATTTTTTTGTCATAATTTTTCGGAAAATTAAAAAATTAAAAAAATTATTTTCACTATTTGTTTTTTTTTTTACATACTGTCACCAGTGCAGTACAGCGTCATCATATAACTGGCATGGCGGTTAACAGGGACACTGACTGGTGACAGTATGAAAAAAAAATATATATATATTTTTTTAATTTTTTTATTATATTTAATTTTTTATTACATTTTTTTCTATTTTTTTTAAGATTTTTTTTTCTTATTTTACTATGACCAAAGTAGTACAATGTTACCATAGTAACATTGTACTACTTTGGGGAAGTGATCAGTATTTTTTTTTTTTTCTTTTTACACAATTTGCTTATAGCAAAGAATTACTTTGCTATAAGCAAGCATTTACCTGAATGAAATCGATTCATTCAGCTTTTTTTTTAATTTTTTTTTTTTGTGCTTAGCTGTGAATTGGTCACAGCTAATCACATGACATGTGCATGTGATTAGCTGTGACCATTCACAGCTAGGCACTAGTATACAATGGATGGCATCATGAATGAAGCCATCCATTGTATACAACTGTCATGTGACCTGCTGTGATTGGTCACAGCAGGTCACATGGTACCAGCAACGGGAGCCGGTACTCGGATCTGTCATCGGCCGTGTCCGAGGTGCACGGCCGTGACAGATCGCACTGCTGCACCGCTCTGCATTAGCGCAAACTGCGCATGTGCGGGAGCACGCCAAATGGCGTGCACCCGGAGTGCAGAGACACATTTGAAGCCGCCAAACGGCCATTGGCCAGGCGGCTAATGGTTAAAGTCTAAAAATGTAAAGTAATGCATTTGGGGGCTAAAAATAAAAACACAAGTTACTCACTAGGAGGAGAACCTTTAGGGGAATCCAGGATGGAAAAAGATCTGAGGGACCTAGTAGATGACAGGCTTTGAAATTGCATACAATGCCAAGCTGCAGTAAGCAAAGGAAGCATTAAAAAGGGTATTTACTCAAGAGAAAAAATTACAGAACTCTGATCTGACCACTTCTGGAGTATGCCACCAGTTCTCGGGAAGGATGTGCTAGAACTGAAGAGAGTCCAGAGAAGGGCAACAAAACTAATAAGGAGACTGAAGGACTACAAGCATTAAACGTCCTAGAGAAGAAACACTTGAGAGGATATATGATATCAATATACAAATACCTCAATGGTGATTTTAGCATAGGGAGGAAACTATTAGTTTTAGGGAAGCTTAAGAAGACATGCGGCCACTCAATGAAATTGGAGCAGAAGCGGTTTAACCTTAAAGTTCTTTACTGTCAGAGCAGTAAGGATGTGGAACTCCATTCCACAATTGGTAGTGTCAGCGGGAACTGTCTATTGTTTCGATTAGATGAGCATTTTAGCAAATGCAATATACACTCACCAGCCACTTTATTAAGTACACCTGTTCAAATGCTTGGTAACACAAACTGGTAATCAGCCAATCACATGGCAGCTACTCAATGCATTTTAGGCACCTAGATGTGTGTGAAACAACTTGCTGAAGTTCAAACCGTGCATCAGAATGGGGAAGAAAGGGGATTTAAGTGACTTTGAACGTGGCATGGCTGTTGGTGCCATTTGAACTGGGCTGAGTGTTTAAAAAATTGCTGGTCTACTTGGATTCTCACGCACAACCATCTCTAGGGTTTACAGAGGATTGTCAGAAAAAGAGAAAATAGCCAGTGAGAGGCAGTTGTGTGGACGAAAATGCCTTGTTGATGTCAGAGGTCATAGGAGAATGGGCAGACTGGTTCGAGATGATAGAATGGCAACAGTAACTCATGTTGTGACAGAGGTGTAGGCAGGTCAGAACGCACACGGAGAATGATAAACACACAAGAGTTTTATTGAAGGATGTGAGACACTTGGTCAGGGTAATAAGGGTAGCGTCCAGGCACACAATATGAGGGGGTCCAGGCAAAGATGATCTGGGCACACAATAGGGCAGTTCAGGCAACAATAATCTGGGCACACAGTGGGGCAGTTCAGGCAAAGATAACTGGGCACACAATGGGGCAGTTCAGGTAGCAATAATCCGGGCACACAGTGGGGCAGTCCAGGCAAAGATAACTGGGCACACAATGGGGCAGTTCAGGTAGCAATAATCCGGGCACACAGTGGGGCAGTTCAGGCAGAGATAACTGGGCACACAATGGGGCAGTTCAAGTAGCAATAATCCGGGCACACAGTGGGGCAGTTCAGGCAAAGATAACTGGGCACACAATGGGGCAGTTCAAATAGCAATAATCCGGGCACACAGTGGGGCAGTTCAGGCAAAGATAACTGGGCACACCATGGGGCAGTTCAGGCAACAATAATCCGCAACATGTGGCTTGCAGGGACACTCAAGGCAGGTAGCTTCCAGGGACACTCAGCAGGCAGTGTGCAGGGACACTCACAGTGGTCAGCTTCCAGGGACACTCAGCAGATAGTGTGCAGGCTCACTCACAGCGGTCGGCTTCCAGGGACACTCAGCAGTCAGTGTGCAGGGACACTCACAGCGGTCAGCTTCCAGGGACACTCAGCCGGGTCTTGGCTGTGGGGTCTGGCCTCAACTCAGACCTCACACAGCACTCTCGGACGAGCAGGGGACCAACTCTTCACGGGTCTTCAGAGGGCTGTGTGTCTTGGCTGCAGCTTTAAGACTACACAGGCAGTTTAGGACCACAAGTCCCAGTAGTGCACAAAACAAAGCACAGTTCAATGCATCTCCTAGTTTGGGCTCAGCCAGGAGTGGCTCTGAGATCCTGACTCAAACTCTCCCATTCATAAAGAGACAGTATGGCCCTTTCAATTGACCAAGCCCCCAAACTCCTGGTGCACACAATATGGGCTTTCCCAGCCACACAACACCATACTATCTGCGCTCCCTGCTAAGATCAATCCCATTTCCCACCCCCTGCGGGGCACAGGAACTCCAAATTGTAGACAAAGCAGACAAGCTCACTGTTTGGCCACAAACAAAACAACACAAAGATAAAAGAATATTTCTGCTATCCGTCATACGTCAATATGGACCAAAATCTCTGAGAAATGTTTCCAACACCTTGTTGAATCTTGAAGAATTAATGCAGTTCTAAAGGCAAAAGGTACTAGCAAGGTATACCTAATAAAGTGGCCGGTGAGTGTACAGGGATATGGGAAATGATATTGACATAAACACATACACATCCACACCCACGAAGGTTGAACTGGATGGACTGGTGTCTTTATTCAACCCTACCAACTATGTAATATTAAAATTTTATACTGATTATAGTTCTCTGTTAGGATCTCCCTAAATCTGAGTAATATAAGTGTAGGAATCTGCTGCCCTCTACTGTCTGAATTTGTAAATAGCTTTTGTTTATTAATTACCACACAATTATATATCTATAAAATTTCCTGTCCCTGGTGGCTGTCTTGGAAAACCCCAGAAGGAGGAAGTGAAGAGAAAGTTTCAGCCACATGTCCTGTCCATGCTGCGAAATCCAGACCAGAAGAGACGATTATGGAAGCATTCTTGTGTTTCAAACGTTTAACTGCAGCTGCCCATAGCTTCTTGAGTGTGTTTCTGAATCCTTGTGACAGACAGAGTATCTCTGTCTTAATGTTATTATCTCACATACACAGTGCCAGATAGCTAGGATTGTTACTGTATGCAGGGTCGGGACAAGGGGTGGACAGGAGGGATGGCTTCCCTGAGCACGGTGGTATCATGTGAGGTGGTAGGGTGCTGCATGGAGAGTTGCTACCTACAAGCTGACAAGAATAGTGACAGCAGCTTCACTACTTCTGTCAGCTTAGCGCTGGAGGAGACAAGCAAGAACTGGAGAGGAAAAGAGAGCCGGTAGGATGCGGGTTGTGCTCTCTCTCCCTTCCAGTGTCTCCTCCTGCCACTGCAACTCTCCTGGATTGAGACATCTGGATGGCCACTGTGCAATGTTTGTTTAGCCACCCCATCTCCTCCCAGAAAAAAATGTGGGTAGAGGGCAGGTAAGCAAACGCCGCAGAGTCATAATCTGACAGCAAGTGGCAACTCCAGCTGGGGGATTTGTGGGATTTGTGCTAGGAGGGGTGATTTGTGTTAGGAAGGTGAAATTTGGGGGGGGGGATAATTTGTGCTAGGAGGGGGGATCTGTGTTAGGAAGGGGGATTTGGAGGGGGGAGAGGATTTATGCAACACTAATATATATATATATATATATATATAGTGGTGTATTTAGGTTTCAGGGTGCCCCAGGCAACACAAAAATTGGCTCCCCCCATGGAGAGACCCTGACACCGACCAACAACCCCCTTCCCCACAAAGAGAGCCTGACATTGACCAACCACACCCCAGCCCCCCCCCCCTTCCAAGAAAGCCTTCCACTACCACTGCCCCCCTGACACTGGCAATGCCCCCCGACCCTGCGAGAGAGAAAACACTCACCTTCACAGCTCCAATTACCCCGGAACGAGTCAGGCTCTGCATGCACCATCAAGCAGATCTCAGCCTCTCTCAGATTGCACCTGGTCCCCATGCTGCGTCTGTCCCTTCTTCCATCTCTTCCTTTGGGGGCAGTGCTGCCCCCCTGAACGATGCTGCTGCCCCTGAAAAATGCCACCCTAGGCAAATGCCTTGTTTGCCTTGTGGTAAATACACCCCTGTATATATATATATATATATACAGGAATATGTACACAATTCCACCAGCACTCTTGGTGGGCATTGGATGTATGCACTATTGTTAATATTTTTCTTATTTAAAGAGTGTATTATTCCCATGCTGGTGTGCATCTATATAATTATAATTATTGTAATATGCTGGTTGCAGTAGTTCTTCTGCTCCCAATTACTTTGATTAAATTACTGATTAATTAATTACTGATTAATTTCTCAGGTAAGGCAACCCCTCTGTTCACAGGGGCCCTGGGTGGAGGCACTGCAAACTTGATTTTTAAACCCACTCTTCCACTTAGCAAAGGTTTTGGTTCTCTTATTTACCTACAGGCTTAGCACAATATCCTGTTTAGGGAAGACTTTTTGTCATAACCCCCCCCCCCACCCACTCAGCCCCAAAAGAGGGCTACGTAAAGCTTTTACTGTGCAGGGCTGAAAAGGTCAAAGTGAAACCCAAGCACATATAAAACACTAATGCAGTTGTGTACTTAAAAAGAACTGCCGCTATTACAAGCTAACAATGAGATAGCAGAGTGTTGAACTCATCAGTTGGCTTCTTTTCCCTACAGCGCTAGTTATATTTCTGGCTACATTGTGGTCCTGCCTATATCTTCCCTATCATTTTAAGGAGTAAGATATACTATGCTTAAAAATATTTGTTATTTTATCTTTCAAACAATATACAACTTTGCATAGGCATATTCTGTATTATATTTCCAGGCAACAGATGGACCTTGAATTTCCTTTTCATGTTTTAGCTATGTATTCCTATTTGACTCACTGAAAGAAGTCTGTTGTGTAAGCAGCCAAATAGCATACGCTAAAATTTACCAACACAAGTCAACGATGACTCCTCACAAATCTGTGCTATAGTGTATGATCCCCTATCAGAATTTACCTTCCCTCTATAGGGCTCTTTTAGGGATAGATCCTCCTTGTTCGC